CTTTATAAAGCAAGATCAGCATAAAAATTTTCGGCAAGTGGCGCAGCACGTGATGTCTTTAGATGATTCGCACCATAGCGATTTTAGCACCTAAAATTATTTTCCCAACATATTATTAAGGGTAGTACTGTGTGCAAATTAAAATAAAAATAGGAAATTACCTTTTTTTTTGTATGTTGTGGCATCAACAATCAATCAAATCTAAAAAATAAACATTAGATATTATTAATATGTAGATATATACAATTTTTTTTTTAATTTAATTAATTTTGGAAGAATAACATTTTAACTCACGATGTCATTATTATGTTCTAACAATAATAATAGTAATAGTATTTTTGAAAATTCCAACGTCAACAACCCAATATCACAACTTTCAAACAAGCTTTTTCAAGATGCCACCACATCTAAAAGAAGCCTAATACTGGCAGCATCATCAACCGAACAGGAGGAATCAAGGAAATTTCCGTCATTAGTAAATTCTTCTTTTCGTACAACGGCTATGAATAATTATGAAGAGTATGGTGTTAATGAAACTTTTAATGAATGGAGCCATCAAATTTATCATCATCACCATCATGTAGGAGAAGATAACAACATAAGCAGCAGCAGCAATAATAATAATAATCATAATAATAATAATCATAATGAAATTGTTGATTTATTTAGAAATGAATTCTTTCCATCAAAAAATAAAGATAATATTAATATCAATAATGATTTATTAGAAGAAGATGAAGAATGGAGCGAAGAATGGAGTGATGAAAAATTGACAGAGTTATATATTAAACAACATGGATTAGATCAATCTCTTGATGATTATGATAATAATGATAATATCAAAAAAATAATCAAATTTGTCAAATTTCCAAAAAGAAAAAAACCAACACCTAATGACAATAATGATAATTCTATCGATGATAGTAATTTACAATCGGAAAAATATGAAAAACATCCACAAGCATATCATACAAGTAGAAGACTCAGTGTCATTAATTCTAGTTATGGAACAATATACGATCCTAGTATTCCATTAATATTTGAACAAAGTACAGAAATCAATATTATTACTGATTGATTGATCGTAAATATTTATTATTTAAATAATAATTTTTTTTCAATTCATGAAGATATAGAAAATGTCATTGTAAGCAATGAACTTGAAAGGTAAATGAAAGCTGACGATGAAATTAAAATAATTGAATAACTATCTATAATTTTATAATTATTATTTTTTAAATCTTATTATTAAATATGATGCGTGTGAATTTTAAATTTGTGTACTTTTTAGAATTATTTAAACTTTTGATTGGCTAGTTTAATTTTCACTCAAAAATAAAAATAAAAATAAAAGTAAAAATTTCAAATGGATAAAACAAACAAAAATCATTTCTTAAAACAAAATGTCATTTTCTTTCTTGTATAAAATGGTTTTTTTTGTGTTGATTGATATTAATCCTTGACTAACGAAAAAATTTTATGAGATTCCTTTTAATAATTAAATTAATTATAGTGACAGTCATAGACATAATAATAAAATAATCAATGAGTTTAAATTTCAAAAATAGCAAACTTCAAATAATATTTATTATAATATTTATTATTAATAATGCATTTTCTGATTATAGTGCAACACGTTATGCAGCTGTTAGTGTAGTGGTGGAT